TGGAGACTCTACTACTCCTCCAAAACTTTTGAATCTGTTGATCATACTTCCTTAGATTTAACAAAGCAATTAAGAACTGGGAAATTCAACCATTTCTTGAAAACAGGTGACTGAATAAAGCAGAGAATCTATAAAGTGCCCCCTTAAACAGAAAGGTTCACACCTTTTATGTCAGTATCAATCAACAAAGAAAACCAAATCTGAAGGAAACTGGGCTCTTTTAATCCCAATGCTATGGAACTACACATTTTCTGAGGGGAAGGATTACTTAAGATCCCAGACAAGCAAAACAATGTATGTGTATAATGCAGAAGACAATTTTAAAATGTGTTCTTCCCTACACTATGCCTGTCAAAACAAAAGCTCAAAATTCAGTATTTTACCCATCAGATTGCTGCCATTATTTGCATGGCCTAAGTATTAATGAACTGATCAGCTGCCGCAGAGTAAGGACACAAGAAACCATCTTCCTATGCTTTATTTTAACAAAATTGGACAAGGAAGTTTTTTACATCACCTTCCAAATTTAGGAGCTAAAAGACTGTGGCAACTTAAAATTTAGTTCATCTTCCTCTGTAGCGTGTACTTCCACAGCTTCTTGTGTTGTCACAATTAGTGCCAAAAAATCTGACTTGCTTATTCTGCAAGATAGAAGTTCTGAAGCCTGTGTCCCATTTATACAATTGTCTCTCTGATAACGGATATGCAAGAAAAATGAAGACAGGAAAGAACAGTAAAAAAAAAAGATAAACATTAATCTTCCTTATCAGTGTGAGCAGAGACGGAGAGGGAATGCAAGAAGAAATGATTTCCTGGAATCAGTATATTCAAAAGCAACATTTAAGGATATTTCTTTATATACTCTTTCAAATAAGGTGTGAAGAGTAAAATTTCTCCAACCTATAGTAAAATAAACCTAAGATTTATATCTAAGCAGAAAATGTAGTGAAATCTGCAGAAATACTATTTTCATTTATGACCTTATTTGCCTCAACTCATTGGCATATAATTTGCATACAATTACTTCTTTGAAAAACAGAGAATGTCATTCCTATTCAAATGGAAGAGACAAGATTCTGTAGCAATGAAGATGTTTACCAAATCATGGTAGGAAAGAGAAAAGAAGCAGAAGGCACTAACAAATAATCCAATGAGCACTGAGACAAATCAGCCCCATTATCCTTCTGATCTGATGTGAGGTGCTTGCTTGTATGAATTAAATTTCTTCCTAATGTATTATATACATTTAAGGCAATGTCCTGGTCTACACAGTTTACCTGGTTTCTATTAATATATACATTTATGCCACAGCTTTTTCTACATTCAAGACAAAGATGGAGTTTATTTCCTCTCCACAGCTCCTTAGTCTCACAAAACCTGTAACAACTTATTTTTGACACTTGTACACCTCAGTCAAACTTGACTGAAATCAACCACACTAAAGTTGTTTGGACACGCACACCTTTTCCCCCCTGGTACTATAGATCTGATTCCATTAGAAATCAGGACAAATAATCTGATTAGTATTAAACTCGACAGATAGACCTGATTTCTGAAAGAGGTAATAAACGTATTAAACAAAACTTCTTAAAAAGTTATACGAGTTACTGAACAATTCGCTCCAGTATAGATGTATGTAACAGTATTAACCTAGTCCTAATCAGACTCTATCACAGTGCTGGAAGCAACACATCTATGCTGCTCTGTCTTGACTATTTTTGCAGTTATATCCCACCTTCAGTACTCTTCCATAGTGAAATCTAGAAATAGACTAATGCTTAAGCTCCACAGACATTTCTCCAATTTCCATGTCAGCCGAGGGACACAACTTTGTGCTACTAAATGAAGAATCAGACTACAAGCTTTAAGAAAATACACTGTGAACAAGAAAGGTATACAGCTGCACAGATCTCAATCTTGCAAATATTCAATTTTAAAATCAGAAATAGTAGTTATAGCTTCAATGGGTCTACTCAGAAGCAGACCCAGACATGACTACAAGCACGTTCAAGGTGGAGTTGGTCTTAATTGCAGGGACTGCGAGTTTTAGATATGAGAACCAAAGTCCTAATACAATGAGATAATCTTAAGAATAATTATGTACTTGCTTGGTCTGTATTAAGTGTTTTGTTGAGAACATAGTTGGAAGTAAATTATGCAAACATAGATTTCCTTTATTAAGTAATTTCATTACAGTAGATGACATTTTATTACAATATATTAATTTCACTTTATGAATTGTGCTATGGAAAAATGCATGCAATTTCTAGCTGTGCAGCCCATGACCAAACAGCTATTAGACATTGGCTAATATCCCTATATAACGGAACTTTTCATTAACCTGATAAATAGGTAGAAACAAGGATCATGGAGTATTCTAAATAGAAGCAATAGGTATTTCCAGCTCTCAGAGATTTTATTCTGCAGCTGTTCCATGGGGCAAACTCCATATGCTAGAGGATTATAAAATCGATCCTAATGAGTTTAAGATAACCAAAAATCTAATTAGTTGGTTTTAAATCTTTTGCTTTTTGCATTGTTTCATTTGCTCTCAGCCATCAGACCTTCTCTATCATCAATGCAACACAATCTTGTGTTAGAATTCTCTAAACTGAAGAGACGCTTTGCAAAATTAATTGCTGAGATACAATGAAGAAAATGCATGCGTATACGTGTTCAAATTCCTTTCTATAAATCTGAAAGGGGGATTCTCTATACAGGTGGTGGAAAAAATGGTGTAGTATTGAATAAATCAGAAGTGCCCTCTGCTGTGGGTGACAGACTGACTGCAGTGAGAAGCCTGGAAAAGCCACTAGGCGAGAATGTTAACAGCATTCCATTGTCTGAAGGATTAGGATTTAAACATCAAGCCTGGTAGGCCCTGTCCAACCTGTTCCTCTCCATCCTGACAGTATGCAAACTACTGTTTAATTAAACTACTGAGTAAGGAGTACTGAGAAATTTCTCAATAAGCAGGCTGGTTTTAAGTTTACATCCATTTAACTGTAAATTTGTACAAATCCTCATGTCGACATGTGGACTGTAATCTAAACTAGGTATTTTGCTTTATAAAAACAATTGTTATTACCAACTTTAATTATGGTTAGACTCCATATATGTCAACAGGAACAATGTACCTAGAAAATCCATGCCAAAAAACCAAACAAACAAATCTATTTTGGGTAGTTTCTATAATACCACAAATCATGATGATTTAACCCTATCTGAAATATGCCACTTTAGTTCTCACCTGTATGAAACCAGGTTTGTTCAGTTCTTTTAAGACTGAACTACTATTTATAGAAAAAATAACAACCACAGGACAGTAAAGTCAGTCACTCACAATGAAACTTTCATTTCACATTAAAAGATAATAAATGAGAAAAATATGAGATCTTATGAGTTACTGTGTTTAGACAAGCAACACGGGACAGGCAATAAACATGTAAGAACCTTGATATCTTCCTGTTTGAATTTCATGGATAATATTACTGCTACTGATACTAATCCCATGAAACCTGGCACTAATCCTAAAAAGAAATAGGGATGGTCAATGTGTTGTTTTCATGAATTTCCCTCACAATCGATAATGCTCTTTATGCTGAAGTACATCAGCAGCAATAAGACAGCATGATGACAACCAATTCGCTTGGCAAGGCAGCAAGGAACAGCCAACACAGCAAAAAGTAGCAAGGTAAAACATTCAAAATACTGTTGAAATAAAGGTAAATCCAAAACAAAGATTCCTCACTGCTCTGTAATTCTCACTCACGTAAAACAACGGTGTGATTTAAAACTATTAATTTATCCTTGAACTAATTCATAGCTTCATCTGATATAGGGACACAGGTGCACGCTGTCCAGCAGTTTACCACACACTCTGCCCGTATCCTGAGCTGTAATGGGCTGGGATTCTGCTTTGTGAACCAAGGCAGCAGGCAGGTGCACCAGTACTTCATGCCACCCGACCCAAACTCTGGCCCCACCGATGTGGTGCAAACAATGATGAACTGACACAAGAAACAGGTGCTAGAACAACCCAGTCTTACAAAAAAATTAGAAATAATTTAAAAAAAATATTCAGGCACAATAGAGCTTTTGCATCCGTTACAAAAACAACAGGGTGATCAAACGCAACGATGCGCTGCTGTGCACGGTGTAGGTGCCCTCGCTGCAAGTCACCTTCATTACATTGTTTTTGTTGTTTTTTTCCAGCATTTCGGGTCCCGAGCTGCAACCGAAACCCTACCAAAAACTCCCGGACGGAGACCCGTGCACGGGGGTCTCTGCCACCTGCTGACAGGCGACACCCAAGCTGCACAAACCCCTGGGCTGTCCCTCACGGGCCAGTTCCACCGCACACCCGTAACCCCCCCCCGCCAAGTATTTACTGTTATTTACAGTGAGACCGGCCTGGCACGGCGCAGGGAGCTCCCTCCTCCCCGCTGCCCGGAGGGCCGGTGACCGCGCTCACGGCTCGGCGGGGCAGCCGGGAGGGAGCCTGCCTGCGGCGGGGTTTGCGGGCAGGTGACCCGCGATCCGCCGGCTCCGGCACCTCCGCGGTCCCCGCCAGGCCCCGCTCACGCCCCTCAGGGCGGCCCCTTATTTCCCTTCCGCCCCTCAGCGCCGGGCTCCCAGCGGGCCCTGCCCGCCCCACGTAATGCCACTAGGCCACGGGAAGCCGCTGCTGCCCCGGGGGCGCGGGGGACAGGCCTCTCACCTGAGCCCGGGGGAAGCTGCCGGCGCAGCGCCCGGCTGTCCCTTGCCCTGTGGGCCCCGGCGGGCCGCCTGTCACGCCGGCTCCGTCTCTCGCTCCGGCCGCAGCTCGGCCCCGTCCCGCTCCGGCTACTCCATAGCGACGGCGACAGCCACAGTGCCGGGGGAGGGCGGCCGGAGAGCGCCTCACTTCCGCCCCGGAGGGGCGGCGCTGGGGCGGCGGCCGGGGGAGGCGGCGGAGGGCGGGAAGTGATGCAGGTCCCCGGCTTCCGCCCGCCGCCGTTATGGCGGTTTATTTGACTCCGCGGTTCCGGAGGCTGCGGAGTCAGAGCGAGCTCGAGCCGCGGCGGCGGCGAGGTGGGGGGGGGCAGAGGGTGTTGCCTTACTCGCCTCGGTGGGGGGGCGGAGCGGGCTCTGAGGGGTCCGTTGGGTGGGCCTTCGGGTGGCTCCGGAGGGATGAGAGCGGGAGGCGGGTGATGTACGGAGGAGTAGAGGGGGCTCCTCTGTCTGTAACGCCCCCCGCCTACCCCCCAGGTCGTGGCTAAGGCGGGGTGGTAGGTTTAATGTGTCGTGAGTGTTGGTTTGTCTGTTGAGGTGATGCGTGGAAAGGGCGCTGGGAACTGGTGGAACATCTCCCCTGGGTGAGGCTGGGAGAGCTGGGATGGCTCAGGCTGGAGGAGAGGTTGGACATTGAGGTGGGACATTGAGGTGCTGGAGCAGGTCCAGAGAAGGGCAACGAAGCTGGTGAGGGGTCTGGAGCACATATCTTACGAGGAGAGGCTGAGGGAACTGGGGTTGTTCAGTCTAGGGAAGAGGAGACTGAGGGGAGACCTTATCGCTCTGTACAAGTACCTGAAAGGAAGCTGTATAGAGGCAGGGGTCGGTCTCTTTTTCCAAGCTACAGATGATAGGACAAGGGGTAATGGCTTCAAGTTGCGCCAGGGGAAGTTCAGGTTGGATATTAGGAAACATTTCTTTACTGAAAGGGTTGTCAGGCACTGGAACAGCCTGCCCAGGGAGGTGGTGGAGTCACCATCCCTGGAGGTATTTAAGAAACGTGTAGACATGGCTCTTCAGGGCATGCTCTAGTGCCCAAGATTATTGGTTTGTGGTGGGATGTTGTGTGGGTGGGTGATGGTTTTGGTTTGGTTGTTGTGTGTTTAGGGGATGGGTGGTGGTGTGTGTGGTTGCTTTTTGGGTGTTTTTGTGTGGTTTGGTGTTTTTTTTTTTTTGTGGTTGGACTCGATGATCTCTGAGGTCCCTTCCAACCACTACAATTCTGTGATTCTGTGAGAGAAGGCTCCTCATCAACATCTACTAGTACCTCAAGGGAGGGTACAAAGAGGATGGAGCCAAGCTCTTCTCACTGATTCCCAGGAAGGTTGTGGACTCTCCACCTTCAAAAGTTGTCAGGACGTGGTCCTGTGTGGCCCTGCTTGAACAGGGAAGGTTGGACCAGAATGTCCCTGCAGGCCTCAGCTATTCTGTGGTTCTATAGTGAATTAATGTGTATGTGTACATACATGCAGTATGTGTGGTAATAACAATACCAAAAAACCTTTGCCTATCTTTGTTCCCTTCTGTAGACTCTAACCTACTGGGTGTGAGTCAACTTACACGAAGGACTGATCCATGAAGTATTTAAGCTGATTTCTGGAGAAATTTTAAATTTATATGTATATATATATAACTGATTGTACAGAGTAAAAATATGTCTTAAAATGCTAAACTTTGTAAACATCTGTAAACTTCCATATAATATTTTGCAGATTGTGATGGTCCTTTTCAAGCAACTCAGCTGTGGAACAGTATTATTCACGCTCTTCACAGTCAGGTGGAAATCAAAAGACGCAGACAACATCTGAAAACCTATAAAAACTGTTTCACCGGCTCAAATGCGGTTGATGTGGTACTGGCCCATCTTATGCAAAGCATGTACCTGAGCTGTAATGATGTTTCTCGGCAGAAGGGAGTCCGTGTGTGCCAAGCGTTGATGGATCACAAGGTGTTTGAGCCAGTTGGAGCAAAGCTTTACTTATTCAGGAATGAGAAAGAAACAGAGTTTGAAGACACAAACACTAGTCTCTATAAATTTGTAAATAACGATCTTACTCCTCTTCTTCCAAGAAAGAATGAAGACAATGAGAGTTTGTCTCCTGAGCAAATCTGCAAACAGAAGATAAAAAGGCGTTCCAAGTGAGTTATTCTGAACTATCCTGATTATTTTTTTTTTAAGTTAAGGTGGGTTAGCTGTAGATGAAGTTATGTCTGTCTAACCCAGCTATCAGAGACTTTTGAAAACTATGTGCTAGTTTTGAGAAATGTTAAGCTTAAATAGCAGATGCTACCTAATATTTCTTGGTAATGCTTTGATCTGCCTTTTGTTATTTAGAATAGAGGCTGGCACAGCAGCATAAGCCCAGGAATCATTTTGTTTTGCGATCAATTGTGCTGAAATCTGAGAATTAGCATGAACAAGCTACTTGCTGGAAGCTGGTAAAAGAAATGGAACAGTATTTGGAATCAATATCCTTGCCCTTTCCGCAAAACAGATGTGAATGATTGGCTTTCTAGCAACATGATAGACACCAGATACAGTGAAGCCCTGAAGTCCTTATTTAACGGCAATTTAGAAAGTGACAGGAAGATAAATGTGTCCTGATCATATTTGTTATACATATAATTCCTTTTTTTTTCCACCTTAGCAGAACAAAGTGTGAAACAACACTTTCTAACCCCTTAGCATTAGAAGCAGCCAATAAAAAGAGGGTAGAGGAGCTTCTTCAGTCAATAAATGTTCACACATCTTTACCTCCAAAGATCGTGGTTAATGAACCAGCTCATCTGCTTTCAAAAAGAGGTGAGGATTGAATTTTTCTTTTTAAAACTTGATTGTTCTTCACCACATCTACTTGGAGTGAGTACCTCATTTCTGTTAAACACTGCCCCTCAGAGTCCTGAATTTAACATGTCACTAATGACAAAACTGCTAAATGAGTGCTAAATGGGTAAGTGCTCATAGTAAGTAAACCGAAAGAAAAACTGGATTAAATTTTTGCAGGATGTTGCTATTCTATTTATGCAAATACCACTTCAGAAGCAAATAGGTTTTAAGAGTAAGTACATCTGTATTATATGATTCCTTTCCTCTTCACTTGTCTTTTCTTGTACATATTATTGATTAGAATAGGCTATTACTAATTCTGATATGATAGGGGAGAAAGATGTTTTCTTTAAAGCCTTCTTTCTTGGCATTCCAATTTTGATCCCTTCTTCCCCAACATAGAAACTTCACACTATGCTGTTACCTTGTTTTCTTTGAACACTTAAAACATTCTTGAGTGAGTAAAAACAAAGGTAGGTTAGTGTTTTACATAAAAGATGTTATTTCTGAGGGTGTTTGTTTTTTGTTTATTTGTGGTATCAGTAATAGATGATGTCTGGAAACAACAAACTCTGCTACGACTGCTGCAGTTAATTGATGTTCCACTTCTAGAAGATATCTTGGTGTCTTCAGTGAAGACAAAACCAGACTGTTTTGGCAAAGAAGAAGACCTGATTATCTCAAATACTTTCCTGGACAGAGAGGTTACATGTAGCTTGAACTTGCCTGAGTAAGTTATACATCTATAAAATGGATTTGTTAGTAAATGCTTGATTTTACTCTTGATCAAAGATTTGTGTTAAGTGAACAAAATAGACATTTTTACACTTGTAGACAGGGGTGGCATTAACATACTTTCCTTTGACTTATAAACTGCTCAATAAGCAATGAGTTTAATGCTGTGGTTCAAATATGTGACTACCTGCATGGTTATTTCTGTCTAATTTTCGGTAAAATACTCTGTATGTTCTTAATTTAATCCTTTGAAGTAAGCACTAAAACTAACTTTTCCTTCTACAGACTTGACAAATGGCTCTATGCTGCAGTTGAATGCTTGGAGTATTTCCCAGACCAGTTCATAGTGATGGTTAGTCAGCAGCTACCTCAAAGCACTAACAAACTGAACAGTCTGAATACATACAAGAAGATTCTTTTTGACACTATAATAAAGTATTATAGTCAAAAGAAGGACTCCCTTCTTGCCACTCAGGATCTCAATATTCATTCAGGAATTATAGAACTTATAGGTAAGAGCAACCTGGAACAAAAAGTGCAAGTGAAAACTGCATAAAGGATGGAACTTACTAAGCATTAATTTATTGAATCATAGCACCATTTGCAATGCTATTGCATATGTACTTTAATTTATAGGTTGGAAGGGAATGCTCGAGGTTGCTAGTCATAACCTCTGCTCAAGGCAAGGACAAATTTCAAAGTTAAATCAAGTTGCTTAGGGCCTGATCCAACTGAATTTTGAAAAGCTGCAAGAACAGAGATTCACCAACCTCTGTGGGTAACCTGTTTCAATATAAACTTCTCTCATTGTTAAAATTTCTTACCTCTAGTCAGAATTTCCTTTATTGCTACTTGTGACTAATAACATAACTTATAGCAATGATTTTACTTTTTACTTTGTTTACCAAAAAATGGTTTTGTAAGTTCTGAATCTAGGATTTTTTTGGTAAAAAAAGTTGTTTAAAAATTATAGAGGGGGCTGTTCAGATTGTGATTTCCTCCTACAAAAAAACCCTCCCTACATATGATCACAAGTAAAAGAGAAGGCTTTAAATACTAGATTAAGAATAATCCTACCCTAAAAAGGCCCTGTTATGCCTTCAGTTCTGTAGGTTTTATGGAGTGTTATCAAGAGTTTCGGTTCTTAGAGACTATGGTAAGCTCTGACATAGCAGCACAGCTGACCTGTGTAAAAATTGCAGCAGTGGTGGATCCTGTTGCCAAAAGCTCCTGAAAATACAACAGGTAGTATTTTTATCAGTGGCATTTTGCTAAGGAGAAAAAAAATAATCAGATTATAATGGAAGTCATGAAAGGGAAACTAATGCAAAAATACATAATCCATCCACAAAAAAAACCCTGCTTATTTGAAAGAACTGATTTAGCTACTAGTAACTTCTGCTGAGTGTTCACTCATGTTAAATATGTTATAGTTCATATACACACTTTAAATACAAAACTGATATAAACCAATATTAGAGAATATTACTAAATTAGGCAATCAAACCAGCTAAACCTGTAGGCAAGGGAAAAGACAGTGTCTAATTCTGAGGAATTAATCTAATGCTTTAGTTGCCTGTAGGTCTTTTTCCTTATTATCTGCTTGATCTAAATTATGTGACCCATGAACCTCCAGGGCTATCCTACTTTCTTATTCTTGCTTTTATTTTGTCATTTTTGCAACTTAAGTTTGTGGTTTTGGGTCCTCAGCTGTGTTCTAGTTCATACTAGAGCACTGTTAGGAAGTTGTGCTTAACTATTTTTTTACAACTCGTTTTCCCTTCTCAGTGCTATGATCCTCAGTGCATAAAAACTTGGATTCTAATAATAATTTTCAAGTAGAATCCAGTGCAGTTAACCTTACCTTGATAAAGTGCTGTTGTTCTGACTATAGTGCAAGAGAGCTCAAACTAGGGATGAACATCTACATATTTAAAAAACTTTCAAAATTTATTTGAGAAGTGCTGCAGTTAGCTCAAGTACAACTTTATTTTGTTATCAATGTATATACAACTATAACTGTATTTTCCTCAGTTGTTATTTTTATTTAAGATGACTGATAATACAGATCTGTTGTGAAAGCAAATGTTGCTGTGCTTGTTGGCTTTAAAATAAACAGATTTAGAGTACTTTAGTTATGTTACAGATAAATGCAATTGGTCAAACTAGTCCATGTGGTTTATTGAAACTTTTTTACATTGGAACATTTTGGTTTTTACAGTCTTTTAAAGTAACTCAGTAAAGCTTTTAACATGGATCAGAGAAACTTGTAGACATTGCTCTAGAAATTATTTCACTTTCTGTCTTCATATCTGTACTTTTACCTGTCTTGATCATGTCCTTTGGCTATTCTCTTTCCTGCTTTTTTATCTGCCCTTCTTTTGGAAAAGGGTCACTTACTTGCTCTTTCTGTGTTCTTTTTTAACAAAGATGGTTTCAAATGGCTTGTGGTACACCCCTGAAAGTCCTGGATTATTTCTTGTAAAATATAACCTCTGTCCCAATAACAGAACAGAGGCCAGAAAATCATATGTAGGTTCTATTCCTCTATCTGCCCTCCTCTTGCTGTTGCCTTAGAAAATTACTTGGCTTTTGATTGTTCCTCACTTTCAAAGTGAAGATAACTAGAATTATCATCTAAAGGGGTTTTTATAGGAGAGTATTTCCACTTTAGCACATTTCCTTGAGAAACTTAAAACCTAATGGCTTAAAAGGAGGGGTGGGGGTGGATGGACACTGACCAAGAGCAAACAAGCCAACCAAACTTTCAAGCAATAAGAAAGCTAGAATTGTTGCACTCATTAATTACTTTGAGATGAATCCTAAAATGTAATACAAAGATGTGTAAACACAAACAGTGTAAACATTACTTCAGTGTTTGCACATTGTACACAGAACAGAGTAACATCCTGTATATATTGTCCAGCTACATTTGTTCCCTGACTAAGTATGGGTCAAAGCTTTTAAGCTTATATTGATTAAATTCTGCAGTGAGCCTTGTCAAAAGGTTTTAGAAGTCCCTGAGATGACCTGCTTTTTTTGGAGAGAAAAAAAAAACACCCAAAATTGGATTAATATTGGAATTTAAATATGTATTCTTGGGTCTGAAAAGTATCCAGTGCAACTGTTCAACTGCTTTACTCCATTGCAGAAAAAGGAAAAACAGATCAAGCTCTAGAGGCATCACAGCTTTATTTAAAATTATTAGCACCAAATATACGAGAAGAACTACATAGGCTCCTGACATTCATAGCCATTGCATCTGAATCAGAGGGCTACAAATTACAAAAACAAGTAAGTATCTGTTATGTTTAGTGTGGGTAATAGCACTTTCCTATAGTAAAGCTAACTTTTTTTCTCCAGAGTTAAAGTATTCTGTTTACTGCCTTCCAATGTGATATGTTTTAAAACAAGTATCAAGATGTTCATCCCACTGATAGCATCCTGTTATACTTAGTCTTTGTGAACATACTGCAAGTAGATTTAGTGCCAAATCTGAGTTCTTCTTTTTCTAGTTTGATAACAGATCGGTGATTGTAAAGACTTGCACAAAGTTCATCTTGCAGAATCAGACGTTGTCAAAACCACAAGCAGAACTGCTGACTCAGTTTCTGATGGACAATCACTCCGAGCTTTTCAAGGTAGTATTTTCCTTTCCTCATTGGCCTGGTCACTTTAAATGTTAGATGCCATGAAATGTCTTTTTTGGAGATGCTCTCCTCTCAGAACTGAGGAGCAGAGTTTAACATTCCATCTGTTACAATGTTGTGGTTTAACACCAGGCAGCAACCGAGCGCCACGCAGCTACTCGCTTGCTCTGCAGTTGCCTTGGGGGACAGAATCAGAAGAGTAAAAGTGAGTAAAAACTTGTGGGTTGAGATAAGGCAGTTTAACAGGTAAAGCAAAAGCTGCCCATGCAAAGCAAAACAAGGAATTAATTCATTTTTTCCCATGGACAGGCAGGTGTTCAGCCATCTCCAGAAAAGTAGGGCTCCATCACACCTAACAGCTATTTGGGAAGACAAACACTATCACTCTGAACGTCTTCCCCCTTTCTCATTACCCCAGCTTTACATGCTGAGCATGACGTCCTGTGGTACAGAATAGCCCTCTGGCCAGTTGGGGTCAGCTGTCCTGGCTGTGTCCCCTTCCATCTTCCTGTACCCTCCCAGCAGGGCAATACGAGGAGCAGAAAAGGCCTAGGCTGCCTAGCAACAACTAAAACACCAGTGCGCCATCAAAAGTATTTCTCATCCCAAATCCTGAACTCAGCACTATACTCGCTGCTATTAAAAAAGTTAACTCTCTCCCAACTGAAACCACAACATATAGTTTAATAGTACAGTCAAGTAGGGCGAGAATCTATTTCAGACTATGGAGGACAGCTTTTTGGGAGCTTTACAATCCTTTATATATAATATCCTCTTTTGCTATTTGCATCATTTCTGTTAAGAAAATATTTGAACTACTAAGAAATTTTTATTGAGGCTTTTTGGCACCTTGTTTCTGATGGCTGTCTACTAAACTTTTAGGTTTCTCAGTGTCTTTCTTTTAGAAGTCAGCTGATGTACTCTGAATGATAAATAAGATGGCATGCTCTGGTGCCCCAATGTACATGTACAACTTTGACAACTCTTAAGACTTCCTTTTGGTATTTTGAAATGTTAACTTCTAAATTAAAGAAAATAAATAGAACCACAAGATGTAATGGCCTTTCTATTTAACTTGATCAGTTATCTAAAAATACAGATATATTTTATAGTCTCCTTTATTTACGTACTATCATATTATCACACATTAAAAGATGCGACCTCCTGGGACCCTAAATTGACTTTCTGAATTCAACTGGTGCATTACAGTCCTGATGCTTTGCTACTGTTTTCCTTAACTATAAAATTTCTCCTTAAAACTAGAGAGCAATGAACTAATTGTCTCTACTGTTACAAGATAGCTGTAAAATTCTCTAGACGCTTATTGTCCAGTTATGAATAAGCCTCACAGAAATGTTGATTTGGTTTCAGTAAAATATTCTTTTTAGTTCTTATCCAACACACTGATTTCCACTTCTGACTTCAGCTAAAAAGGCATGGGAGATTTTTATTTTTTCAAATTGACTCCAGTTTAATTTGAAAGTATCAAGTGGTTACTGTGAGTTGGTATGTATTAATATGCAGCCAAAATGAAATGGTTTGGGTTTGTTTTTTGTTATTAAAGGTTCTGACATGAGGGGTAGGGCTTGATTGGCTTCTCCAATCAAGCAGGCTCCAATCAAGCCCGATCATCATCTCATGATTGGAGATAGAGCCAGATCTGATAAATGAAGTGTCCGCTGCTTCATAGCAGTGACAGCAGAGTGGATGGTGGCTCGCTCTTTCACAACTGCAGTTGAGAGCCTTGTGTATTATATAAGCTGAAATCAGTTCAAGGTCTACACTCCTTTGTTTCTTTTTCTTTTTCTTTTTTTGGGTAGTTCAGTGGAAAACAATGTCTAGAACATCTTGCATCCTATTTCTTTGGTCAGAAATAAACGTGTATATGCTCTTTAGCCTGGAGAAGAGAAGGCTATCTATGTTTACAAGCACCTAAAGGCCGGGGTGAGGGACGATGGAGCTGGACTCTTTTCAGTGGTTCCCAGCGATAGGACAAGGGGCAATGGGCACAAGCTGGAACACAGGAAGTTCCATTCAAATATGAGGAAAAACTTCTTTAGGGTGAGGGTGACGGAGCCCTGGAACAGGCTGCCCAGGGAGGTCATGGAGTCCCCTTCTCTGAAGATTTTCAAGACCCGCCTTGGAGTCCTAAGTGATGTGCTCTGGGCAATCCTGCTTTAGCAGGGGAGTTGGACTAGATGATCTCTAGAGGTCCCTTCCAACTCTGACAATTCCATGATATGTGTATTAGTGCAATTTTTGAGAGATTTTGGATGTGTACCTGAATAAATGTAGGCATAGATTCTTTAGCAGTTAATGATTTTATTTTTAAATTGATCATCTGAAAGCTTTAGATTTTCAAAAACACAGAAGTATTGTTTTTGTAACCTTTTTTTTTCTCTGTGGGATTGTATTTTCAGACTCCTTTAACTCTTCTGGAACTAACTAGTAGGAGGCTTGAGAATTTGCTGGAAGGAAAAGATCCAGATATCGATTCAGGTAGATGATGTGATATGCATTTTTATATAAAACATTCTATACAAACCAATTCATCATCAGTTGACTGTAATTTTGCGTAGACTGTGTTCTCTTCTTTTATTGGAAGTGAAGCATTAAAGTGACTAATGGCTAACTCACCAAATAATGAAATTTTCAGCTATAATCAAAACACTGACCTCTGAATATTAGAGAACAAGGATTCTATTAATCATCTACTTTGAACTTTTTTACCAAATAATTGTTTCTGGAGAAATTAATGCAAAACGTGCTTCCTGAAGTGACATGCTTATAATTTGATTTGTGCATTTGCTATGATCTTATATTTAGGAACAGCATTCTTATTTCTGCCACGAGACACCTAACAATTCTCATAGAGTTCAGTAGTTTGGGGTTCTGATAGATGTCTTGAGCACAGACCTTGATTGTTTAGTGTTTTGAAGAACTCTCTTCCTTTTCTGGGTAAGCACAAAGTTTACTAAGAACTTAAGATTTACAGAACGGTAGTGTAGCCTAAAAGGAAGGCATTTGATGTTTGACGACGTATATGTGTTTTCCAGCTCATTTCTTTTACAAGCTAATATTCCATCTGGCCTTGATGCCAAATTCATCTCTCAGCACAGGGATTGAAAGAGTTGGCTTAAATAATTTAATTTTTCTCTGAATCTTCACCTTCATCCTTTTGACTTCTCTACTGCCAGTGCATTATGTGCTTAAACGTTGAAGAGAAGCCATTAGGGCACTGAATAACACTGTAACTTATTGTATTTAATACAGCAGCTGCCTGGGAAGTAGATTTGGTACAGAATCCTTTACCATCTGTGGTGGGTTCTGGCATCTCTCCAATTTGCTTCTGGTTCAGTGTTCTGAGTATGGCATATTGTGCAGCCAGAGAACACAGGGATGAGCAATAGAGGAAGGAGTTGGCTGTCTGCAGTGCTCTCATAGCCTGTGGGATCTCCATCAGCACACTGAGCAGACGACTGAAGTATGAACCCCATGCTATATTCTCCCTGCTAAGTTTTGGATTAAATGATATATATATATATGTAAATTCTATGTACTTGTTGAAACAACTGGTTTGTTCTGACTGTAAGTGCTCCAGCACAGGAGAGTGTGCCTCATAGTCTGGTGTCGTTTTCCCTTTTCTCATGGAGGACACAGCAGGAAAATTTATCCTGGGAGCTACTGAACTTTATTATCCAGTGAGCTTCTGAAGGGCAGGTGGGAGCAGGAGGGGGACCCTAATAAGAAAAGGGGTCTGTTTATTGCAGGAAAGTAATCCTTAGGTTTGCTGGAAATATAAAACACTTAAAAACACTGAGGGAACTCCGAGGTTGGTTGTAACCTAGTAGGCCACATGAAACCATTGGCCTAAAGGACCCACCCTCAAGTTTCAAGAGTTAATCTTGGTACTGGAAGTTGTTAAGCTTTCCCTTTTGAAAGAGATATTTTCTCTTGATCTGACTCTACTAAACCATAAAAAGTATTTCACGTTTGACATTTAACAGACTCATGGTAAAGGAAGGGAAGATCAGGTCCATGTGAAAATTCTGGCAGCTTGGGTTCCTACCACTTTCTCTGAGCCATAAAAAGATGGTGTTTGTACAGAAGGAGTAGTAAGAACTACTTGATATTGAGACTGTAGCACTGCTTTTCAATTTTATTTTTGCAATTAACGTTTAGATGTTCATCCATGCTCCGTGGAGGACTATGTGTTTCACATTGTCAAGAATTCACATCTGAACTGGAATATCAATATACCTATGTTTCTGATTGAATTTTTAAATCAGGCTCTTGCATGATGCATTAAGCTTAATCTGAACCTCTGATTTCTTACAAAGGCTTCACCTTCTGTCAGCGTGTAACAACTAAAGAATATGAAGATCAAAAACAACAAACAAGTCAATATCTTCTTGCATTGGTTCAAGAGATAGACAATGACTCCACTATTCCTTTGAAGCAGAAGAAGAAATTAATTAAAGAATTCCGAAAACACCATTCTCTCATCTATTGTGGTGGTTGTAAAACTACATGTGAAGTTTGTACTCTAAATGGTTAGATGTCAATACAGCCATTTTTATTTTTTTTAAAGGGGGATGCATAAGAAAATTGTTCGTGATACAAACCATCTTACATCTTCAGTTACAGGGAAGTATCAAAATTACTATGCTGCTTAAAAGCATTAATTGTAATTTATGTCTCTTCTCAGAAAATATACTTAATAACTTTTAAATTAGTAATAATGGCACACTGCTTGTGCTGCTTTGAGTTTGGGGATTGGCACTTTTTTTCCTTGTGTCCTACAACCCTGTGGCTTTCTAGCTGAGCCACGTCTGCATTCGGAAACATGCTGGTGTTCATAACCAGTAAGATTTTTAATCTTTTCTATCTGTAGTTCCTAATTTAGCTGTAATTTAATCTTAAACTGTAGATTATGACTCCTGTGAGTATTGTAAAGGTGTACAAACTATGTCAAAAACGTTAGGAGCAGGTCAGTGGGTTTTGAATCTGTGGCAGGCATGATTAATTAGGCTGAGGAGCTGTCTGTGCTTGCAGTCAGTAATTACACCCTCTTGCTCCTTCCCCACTCTTGCAGACCGAGTGAGCTGCTGCTAATCTGATAATTATGCAAAAGCAACTAAAAAAATAAATTTTGAAAAAACTTGAAGAATGATAAGCCTGTTTTAGATCTCTCAGTGTAGTTAAGTAATTTATTTTAACATGAGGATACTTTGATAGTGTCCAGGTGTTTGTTATAAATGCTTTGATACTGTTTATATATCCATAGGGCAGAGCTAGAAAGCATGTTGGCCTGTCTTCACACATTGCTGGTTACCTGTACATTGACAAGGAAATGTGGATTCAAATCATTAAATGAATATGTAATAGAATGTTATAGGGCTTAAATTACTTCCATTTTCATGACAGCTTTTTGATTGTGTATTGGACATAGAAAAACAGAGTTGAGATTGGAAGGGACCTCTGGTCTAGTCCCACCACCCAGCTCACAGTGGAGTCAATTAATGCAGGCTGCTCAGGGTCTTTTCCAGTTGAGTTTAGAATATCTCCAGGGTTGGAGATGCCACAACCTGTCAGGTGAGTCTGGTCTAGATTTTGATCAGCCTCACAGTGTTTTAAAAAAAAAAACAACCAACCCAACAAAACAAACCCCAAACCAACAAACAAAAAAGAACCAAAAGAGACAAACAAAAACAAAGCCCACCTTATGTTTAGGTAGAATTTCTTGTGTTTCTTGCCTCCTGTCCTTTCACTGGGCAGTGTCTGGCTCTGTTGTCTTTACTGTCAAGCCTTCTCAAAGCTAAACGATCACAGTTTTCAGCCTCTTCCTTGCATGAGAGATGCTCCAATCCATTATCATTTCCCTTTGCTGGACTAGCTCTGCTCTGACCATGATTTTTTTTTATTATTGTGAATTATGCTTCTTCAGGTATCTACATCCTCAACTGCTCTTAAAACGTGTGGTCAAAGTTACCAGGATACCAAAGTTTTCTGAAAGCAAGCATTGCTTTCTTTTCTTCTATAAATTGAAATGTTTCACTGTTGGATAGAACCAACTATGTGTACAGGTAATAGGTTGTGTTAACTTGCATATTTCAAGTGGCCTTATTTAAACAACCTGGCCCTATTAGAAGTCAGGGAATGTAGTTGAAATATGTCCATGTGTCCCTGTTTCTGCAGTTGTTATTTAACACTGACCGTCTAGTGTAAAATAACTAATTTTTGCAGGAGGGGAAGAAAGACCAAGTTTCACTTTTCAGAGGTGATTTCCCTGATTACTAGACTACAGGGGCACATATTCTTTCTCTAGCCCTGTGTTGGGGTCTTGGTCATTCTCCCGGAAAAGGGAGCATGTACAGAAGTAGGATATTGAGAACTATAAACAGGAAAGTATTTCCTGGTGTTGAGTAGTGGGAGAAGGGAATTTTAGTTTGGTGTGTTTTTTTCTTTCTCTCTTCAGTCCCTTCACTGGCTCTCACTCAAAATCTGAAGCTGGTAATAGGGAGGGGTGACAACACAGTAATTTGTAGGCTAGACGAACTGGGAATTGTTTGGGGAAAAACAATTTTTTTAAATAAATCCTTGCACTTTGTGACTTGATTATAATATTCTTGTGCTAATTTAAAGATGATAATAAAACATTGCATAAAAAGCACTGTATCAGTCTATCATTTACTATTGCTTTCATAAGGTAGAGGCAGCTCAGCGCATACACGTTTGTTGGGGTGTTCACAGCTCTGACCATTCAAGTGCATCGATTACACTTGGGTCACAGATGGTCACAAAGAACTCTGTCCTGGAACCAAGCAAGCCAGGTGGGGCCCTCTGAGGCTTCTTCGTGGCTTCTACCCTCTACTGTAGCCCTTTCCCCTCCTGCGTGCAGTGCTGCACACACTGATGGCACAGTAACAGAGCTTCTGATGCCACCTGTGCTCTGAAAACAGAAGTAACAGGTACAGGCTGGGGTACTTGTGTTTATCTAGAACACATGGATAGGAGGACACAGATGGGATGACCCAGGCCACAGCTGCAAGATTTGTTCACCTCAGGCAGCTTCTGGTGTCACCTTTTGTTGGAAAGGTGAGAGAAGTGGCAGGAAACTTACTTGCTAAGACATTGTTTAAAACAAAAACCAAACAAAAAACCCCACAACCTACTAACCAAACCCCATTTTTTAAAAAGAATTGTTTGAATTACTCTTTCCTCAAAGCCTAAGTATACTTTCAACAGCAGTGGTCACATTTCAATTATATTCCTCTCATGGCTGTTCACTAAAATAACCAAAACTCGTGTATTCGATTTCAGGATAGGCAATTTCAGAGACCTTTTGAGATGTGTTAAATTGCCATTCAATTGCAAGTGCAAGTTAGAATAATATTCGTTTGGACAAAAAGATAATAACCATCTTGATTTCTTCTCACCATGTGTCAGTGCCACACCAGTACAAGCATTCAATATTTTTATTGCTTCATGCATTGAGGTTTTGTGCAATAAGAATACAATGAAGCTATCAGTAAAACATGAGAACATAATGAAATGACAATGAATATATTAGGCTTGCAAAAATTTATTTTTAAACTCTGAAAGCGATTCTTTTCCAACCCACTTAAATACAGGAAAGCTAAAACACAATCCTAACTGACAGAAAACAGGTTGTAATTCAAAGAATTCCATTCTGGGTAAAACAATGGAATAACAATATACCAACTATGCTACCTATATATCAAATTTCTCTTCACAGATATTGTGTCCATGTTCTTCATAATCTTCTCTAGTTACTACCATGTCTTCAAAATCATCATTTTCGGAAATGAGCTTCCCACCTTCCCAAGAATAAGTAATTGGGCTGAAAAATTAACAAAATTTTTGTCACTCATCTGTAAGTTCACTCGAAACACAAGTATGCAGCAATGATTTCAAAGACTTTACTTAGCAATACCTATTAAAAAATTATATTTTTGATTGCTAAATCAAACCATTCAGTTCCAGACAAGTTATGAGACAAAGTCTGAAATTTTTGCAGGGCTAACTGACTGCTTTTTATAAAAAGTAAGTGCCTCTTTGGAGGCAAGTGTGAAGAGGTCACAAAGTAGAGATGTCTTTGTATTTATTTTGCAGAGATAATGGTTCATTAATATTTAAAAATACTCTTTTTTAAAAGTATTATTAAAGTGAGGATTTTTTTGTACTTTGAAGATAACACTTGTTTTGTCTCAACTGTATACACTCTCTCTCTGCAAAATGTTACTCCTTTCAAATCCCTGAAGTGGCTACATTAGTAATGACATGGCAGCATTCAGATGCTGAAAATTCTTCGAAGTAAAAGCCTAAACCCTAATCTTGCATGCTTATGGATCCACTTAATGACAATAGTCTTATTTATCTGTTTACAATAAAAAGACCAAACCTGAAGATACTTATTTGTGCTCCTAACTTTATGAGCCAAAGTACAGGGCAAGCAGGTAGTCTCTAATTTATTTCGTCTGAAAATATGCTGATTTAAAGCATTCTTCTTTTACAATTTTGGTTCGCTTAATATTTAAATTAACCCCTTTACTCAATCTATCTTTTTAATCAACAAAAGAAATCCTACTTTAGAGTTTGTTCTGCTAGCAGGACAAAGCTTGTTCTGTACAATTTAGAACTTACTTTTCAGGAAGAACAACGGAAACATCATAATCAGTTGGAGTAAGACAGCGAACTTCAGAATAAACCCGATCTCGGAAGCCTGGAAAAAGGGTGTTTCCCCCAGTCAGAACTATGTTCTTGAAGAAATGAGGCTGCATTTCTGGAAAATAAAGAAGTAAATCTGTAGTTAGAGAATATATATTTAAAGGGGTTTTGCCCAATTTTGTTATGAATTGGAACAGAAGAAAGAAATGCATTGAAGAATTTTATGTTCATCTAATGACCACATCAGTTAAATAGTTTTACTGAGAAATACAAGAAAGCGATGAATCACCCTCTGTTCTTCATGATTTTTAGAATTTGGCTTTGATAACTGCTCTTTTCTTATATTGTCTATTAAATTCCATGTCTACCAACACAATTCCCCTTTCAAAAGGGATTGTAAATGATTTTTTTAAGAGTACAAAAAATAACCTCAATGCTGTGATACTTATGTGGTATCATAAAACGTATGAAAGTCTTCTTTGTAATAATAACACTAATTCCATGTACACCATCTGCAAAATGAAAGTTTTAGTGTTACTTCTGACAAACACAGCACTCAGAAAGGTTTGCGACTTTGAAGCTTAAATTACTGAGTTTGGTCAGTTTGATATTTCTCATCAGTTTGATTTTTCTCTTCTTCCAGTGAAGAGAGAAAGTTTAAAATAATACAACTAAAACTTAATTTCAAGTATATTCCATCATCAGCGCCAAAGATGGATAGGTCATATTAGAAAAGGATGTTGAGAAGAATTAGGTCTACAGCAATTAACTGAAACAAGGGTAGAAACCAATCAATGAATCAACCACAAAACTGTGTTTTGAATGAATCAACCACAAAACTCTGATTCTAACAGAGAATCTTATAGACAATCAGTTCTAGAGTATATGACAGGCACCAGAAGACAGAACAGTTCACAACAACTTAGTAACTGGTATGTTGAGAGTACTAGCTTCTTAAAACACTATAGCTGCTTAAAGAAAAAAACAAAACCAAAAAAACCCACACAAACCAAAACAATACACACACACTTTTCAAAATACTATTAGGTCATACCTTCAGGTAAATTCTGAATAGAATAAACAATGGCTTCAGGAATTCCCATCTCTTGAATACCAATATCTGAAGGATGGAAGAGTATTTCTGGAACTGCAAATCTTTCATTTGCTAGACGAAGTATTTGCTCACCAGTCTTGTATTTTCCACTTAACACCATCTCTTCCCTTGGCTAAATTAAAGACATGAATAGTAGCCACTACTTAAGAAAAGAAATTACATCCTAGAGTATTCAGCTAATATTTTTCACTTACTGCAGAAGCAGACAATATATTCTACGTTAAGTGGTATTATCAACAAATCTTTTAAGAATAATAGATGTCCTGGTATTAAATCTGAAGTGACTTTGCTCTTATCAACTGCAGTTTTGCCTAAACAAAATAAAACAAATATGCACAAGAGTGGCCTTAAAATATCAGGCCTGTGGCCAAATCAGTAAATGAGATAAAATTGTTAAACTGTCTTCATCGGCATGAAGACTTTTCAGGCTCTTCTATAACATGACTTTGAACCTTCTACCCATTAGGATATTTAAATGAAACTCAGAGAGTCTTACAAAAAGGTATCAAAGCAGAGAAAACATTTTCCAACTTAACTTTAGAAAGAACCCAACAATAATGATGTGGATAGGTTGTATGATAGAGCACAAGCATAGAAAGCTACAAGTATTAAACAATAGAACATAAAATGCTGTGTTAGAAAAATAGTATCTAATTTTTATCTCAACCTCCTAAGGAAAACTTTACCAATTAATGCACAGCAAAGAAAGAAGTTACAATACAGCAATAGAAAAGAGGAAGTCTTTCTAACCTCTCTATTAATAGACTTGTGCAGGTGAACAGTCCAAAAAATACTTCAAAAAACCTACTGTCATTACCTTGCAAAATCCCTTTTTGATTGTGCTGAAATCTGGCAAAACATAATCTACCATTACAGTATTCTCCTCTCCTTTCAATCTGAAAGAATGTAAAACACAACAGAATAAGTCACAAGTTCAAAATCCCAACTATTTTATACTGAAGAGAATTCCCTTGACCTAACTGGAAAACTTCCTGATTAAGAGTATAGTTTTATTTGTTTGTACAAATAGATTATTCAGAAGTACCAACTTTTACATGTAGTACCATTGTATACGTACTTGGCAATGTCCATGTCCTTGTAAAAGTCTTGAGAAACATAACACACATCTTCTTTCACTTGATTAATTACATGTGTTTCATCCATAACATGTAGCTGCCTGGAAAGAACAAAACACACAGAAGTTTGAGAATAATTAAATCTTAGCATCTGTCCAGAAACCATTCCAGTTTTCCACCTGAAATGAACAACCATAGTTTTCAAATCACAGAAAGCTACTGTCTCAGTATTTAAAACTGGTATTCAATTTACAAAAGCATTCCTGGCCTACTGTTTAATATTTTCCTATTTCACAGTTCAATAAATACAAATATCTACCTGCATTTGCCCAAAGCCTTCATAAAAAGCATAGTCATAATCCTGCAATTAGTTCTACTATCAAAGACTTTTACCTAGATAAAGTTCCAAGCTAAAGAATCCTAATGAAAAGTTGATCCTATTGAATTTTATTTGTGGCATTGATAGAATCAATTAGCCAACTGACTGATGATCTACTGAGACATCTCAGAAAACACGTAAGGACTTGGATAACCGTGAACACACAGGTAGCCTCAGCAACTTGAAAAGCGCTGGCACTTTAAAAACTAACAGCCTAATTCCCCAAAGAGCTTAAACTCATCTTAATTCATTTTCAGCTTAACCTCAAAATGGCAGCCAGCTTATAACAGATAAAAATTCTCTTCTCCTTTAAACAGCATTTAATCTAAAGTTCACAGAAACAGTATGAATACCCCTACAAACATCTAGCATATTTCAT